TCTTGGTTCAGCTGTTGAAGATAGGCCCGGTAAGGAAAAAAAAAAGAATTACCCAAATAATTATTATTATGTAAAGATTGCACTTTTTTTATTGTGTTCTTGAGTTTTTGACGTGGGTATTTTGTATAAAGGTGTAATTTTTAGTTGGGTTGGTCCTTTAGCTAAGTTGAACTTTTAATGATTTTCTTGAATTTTTTATGTGTATTTTGTATAAAGGTGTAATTTTTAATTGAGTTGGTTCTTTAGCTAAGTTATATTATTGGTGCAAATGCTACTAGTCTTAGTTTAGCTGTTGAAGATATGCATATATAATTCTTGATACTAAAAAAAGAAGAAAAAAAGAAATACCCAGATGATTATTATGTAAATTATTAAACTTTTAATGGTTTTCTTGAATTTTTGATATGGTATTTTATATAAAGGTGTAACCTTTAGCTAAATTATGTTATGTTTCTTTGTTGCTTGAAGTGATTTCTATAAGGGCTTGTTTTATGGGTTTCTATTGTTATGTATCTAATTATTCTTATGTATCATAGAGAGGATTGCTCTGATTGGTAAGACTATAATATGGTGATTTTGGAGAAATTTGGGTTTTGGGGTATTCTAAGCAAGTAGAATTTGGCATATGCTTGTATTTGTTTAGTTTATCCTACCTATAATTTCACTAGTTATCTGTGGTTGTTAATTGCAACTTGTAAGTTTTATTAGAGGAGCTTTGAGGTTGTTTGAGCAGAGTTTTTGCATATAATATAACACCAAGATCTCGTTTGCTGATAGTATATGGAAATCTTCACGACTTCCCTGTTAACTTTATTAACCTTGAAACTTTTAATCCATTTCGCGTCTATGTAAAATTCAGCATCCTGCTTAATGCTTCCATCACTATCAAGAATAGGAAAGGAGAAAGAGGATTTTCGGTCTCAAACCTCTAGAGGTTCTGAGAGTTCCTTCAGCTATGTTTTTTTCCTTTTCTTTTCTTTCTTGATAAGTAAGATCAGTACTTTTAATATGTACTGCCCAGCATAAATAAAGTGCTGGATGTGTAGTTACAGATTGCAAAAATTCGATTCATTATAGTGTTTGTAATGAGCTGAGGAAGCCTGACATGGTTTCTGCTGCATCTACATCAGTTATGTTAAACCAGAAGGCTGAAAAGGCATTTGTAGTCTAATTAAGTTTTCCTTTTTCCCTTCAAAAGTCCTATTGTTTCTTTCTACCCCACAGTCCACCGAATAGCTCCAGGGATATTCGTCCATATATTGTAGTCCATGTGAGCACTTGAGTGGTCATTCCCCATATTAGGGTTAAATAGATTGCTGATAATAAACACACTTCTGTTTGTGGTTGAGTGCAACGCGATGCACCTTTTAAGTTACTGAAATTGCTCGCCCTTGCCCAAGGGTCAATAATTTGTGAGTATGCATATTTTTTTTTTCTAGAAAATGTGAGAAAATGCACATGTTCTTTGTCATTTATATAAAAGCTTATCTTTTTAATCGTTTTCGAGAAGTAAATTTCCTTAATATAGTAATATGCATATATGCATGTTATACATTTTGGAAAAGAGAAAAGTGTTACGATGTGCCAAAGTGATAATGGTGCATAGGGGGAAAAAGTGGAGCAAATTGAACTGTCTAATGGTATTTACTGAAAACAATATCTTACCCTTCTCCTTCTAATCTGCACAAAATTGTTTGCGTACTAGTTTATTTTCTTATACATACTTTGCCTATTTTGTGGTTGTACAATTGTTTTTGCAATACTCAACACCTCTATGATGCAACTCTCCAGAAGAACACCCCTATCGTACATAAAATGGTTCCTTTCTTTCATTCTCTTTCTTCATTGTGCTGTGAGCCGGTGATTGTCCATGAATGCAAAATAGTTTAGGTGTAATTTTATCGTAATAATGCATGTTATTTTTGAAATTCAGATGTTGCTGATGGCTCAAGCGAGAGTGTATTTAAGAATGATGAATCAGATAGTGATGGGAGTATTGTTTATGATTTCCTTTACCCTAGTAAAGAGCTCCTACCTGATGATAAAGAAATGACTCTATTCGATCATTTGGAGGAGTTGCGTCAGAGACTCTTTGTGTCTGTTTTGGCCGTTGGTGCTGCTATAGTGGGATGTTTTGCCTTCTCAAAAGAACTTATCTTGATTCTTGAAGCCCCTGTTCTAGCACAAGGTGTTCGATTTTTGCAACTAGGTCCAGGAGAGTTCTTTTTCACTACTTTAAAGGTTAGACTGCATCTTTAATTTAATCTTCTTTGTCACTCATTCCAGTGACCATTTAATTACTACAGCGAAGTTGTTGAACCTTATTTTGCGAACTAGGTGGATCTTTCTTTTGTGTTTGAGTTCTTTTTAAGGGTTAAAAGTTTGTCCTTAGTGCCTGATATCTGGCTCATTATCGTGATTATATACTGAATTAATTATACACTCCTCTATGATTGAATGTCATAATTTCTATTTAGGCCGTTATAGAATAATTAACATTTCGATAACGAGTACCTTACCACTTATAGATTGTAAAAGTTCAATCGCCCTTGATTTTTACACGCCTTGACATTAAAAGAAACTAGCTAGTAGTTGAACCCACATGGCCACATCTAGAATTCTCAATCCACTTGCCTTAAACTATTCCTTGTCTTACATTTCATCTTCAAAACCATTTATGAGTCAAACAAGTGATTAAATACAAAAAGCAAGTAGTCTTAATGTACCTATAAATAGATACGTGTATTCAGATAGTTTGTGCTGAATACGTCAAAGAAATGGAGGCTATTGAACAACGTGTTTTGCTACTTTTGATATAGGGAAGTTGGCATACTAATACTAAAGTGAAGGAAAGCTGGGGCTGTTTGGAAAAGAAATCCAATAGGCTGAAAGCTAAACTTGCTTAATTGAATGCTTTAACTCACTGGACTTGTAGTACTGAAGTGCTTTTTTGTTTTTGTTTTGTTCTCTCTCTCTCTCTCTTGTATAAATTTTCTGCTACCGAAGTATTAAGTTGGCATCTTCTGACGTATCCTAAAAATGTGCTTATAATTGTTTGCGAGGGACTTGTCCTTGAATAATTGTTTACAAGCTATACTTGTTCATGCGACTTCTAGCATACAGCTGATGATGTAGTGCTAAATGCTCAAGTAGAAAAAAAAAGTTCAAACATAAGATTGGAGTTGATCACGATGTCATGATGTTCGTGTTGTTTGGATCAAATCGAACATTGGCATTCATACTAATTTGGCAAGTTCAGTGTAGTAACTATTCTGTTCACACTTTTGATGTAGGTCTCAGGATATAGTGGCCTTCTTTTAGGGGCTCCCGTGATTCTCTACGAGATCATAGCTTTTGTTCTTCCTGGTTTAACAATGTCAGAAAGAAGATTCCTGGCACCAATTGTCCTTGGATCTTCAGTACTTTTCTACACCGGCATTGTTTTCTCACACTTGGTTCTCACTCCAGCAGCCTTGAATTTCTTTGTCAATTATGCAGAAGGGGCTGTCGAATCCTTTTGGTCCATTGATCAATACTTTGAATTTGTGCTCGTACTCATGTTCAGCACAGGATTGTCTTTCCAGGTAAATCTTTTGCTTGTGCATATTTTCCTTTCTGCATGAGTATATAAGAACACCCTGATAAACAGTTTAGTGCAAGTAAATTTAGTTGTTCAATCTCGAGCTGCTCAAATCTTTGACCGTACTTTGCTCAAATCTTTGACCGTACTTCACTTTTGTGTTCTTGGTTGGCTTGACTTACAACTAGTTCTTGCTTAAAACCACCTTGGCCATAATTGAGCAGTGTTTCGGGTTGAAAATAGAAGCGAATATTAGATTTTTTAAGCAGATTTAGGTGTGGCCTAGTGGTCGATGAAGTGAGTGAAAACCATGTGAGATTGTGGTTCAAATCACAGTAGAGACACAAAAGGCTAGGCGATATCTTCTCATCTACCTAAGCCTTTATTAGCAGAGTTTCCTGGTACATGTGCTGGTGGGAGGTAGCAAGTACCTAGTGGACTAGTCCAGATGCGCGTAAACTGACCCAAACACCACCGTTTTGAAAAAAAAGTAAGTATGATGATTCGTAGTGGTGAAGCAGTCAAGAATGTGGCCATGGTTTCCAACCTAGGGTAGCTTTGAATATATTTGTCTCTGCAAATACTATTGTATGATGTTGATCAGCATCCTCATGATATCCAAATTGTTTTAATCCAATTGGCAATTTTATAATGCATCTCCTTTACAGGTTCCTGTCATTCAACTGCTTCTTGGACAAACTGGTCTGGTGTCGGGAGATCAAATGCTGTCGATTTGGAGATACGTGGTGGTAGGTGCTGTCGTTGCTGCTGCAGTACTCACACCATCAACTGATCCCCTTACCCAAATGCTTCTAGCTGGCCCCCTTTTGGGACTTTACTTGGGTGGAGCGTGGATGGTTAAGCTTTCTGGTCGATAGAGTGATCGCCGTAATGTGGTCAAAACTTCTGTTCTTTTGCATCAATATACCAAGAAGTATTAGTAGAATGATCATGCATAGGACCAAAAGTCATGTAGCATAAAAAGGACATTTGAGTGGAGGATATATGATCTGTTTTTTGAATACCATTTACTATTGTCATAATCCATGTAAAATTATCCAGTGTGTATAATTAGGAGCTTAGTTGACACTCCATTCCGAAGTCGTTTTGATGGATCTTTTCACTAATATATGAATGAAAAAAGTCATGGGCTATCGTTTTCGCGTTATATACTCTTTCTGGCCACAGAAATGATGCAAAGGGTACAAACAAAATAGAGTTAAAACAATTCGTGAATGGCATAATCTTGTTTAGAACTTCTCATTGGTGCAACTTATCATTCAATCCTCTTACAAAATTCAGCTAAAACAAAATTGTCTTGATCGTCGAATATCATTAAGAAATAAATAGAAAGAAGTTTTATCGAATAATTTCCTATAATTCTTCACAGTATGGAATGAGTAAAGAATCAAGCTACAAGTTTCGATCTACAACTCTATATTAGCTTGACGGTTTAATAACTATATATTCATTTAATGGCAAAATGTCACAAAAACCAAAAACACATCCAACGAACTGTTACAACTTTTTACTCAATACTCGTAGCTACAAACTAAGAAGCTCATTGAGCATCTATTTCTCCTTCCCGTTCCCTTGCCCTTTCTTTACTAACATTACTCGATAACAAGGTTTTCCATCCTAGACATTGGATCAGTTGCATCTGAGTGATCTAATTCATCTTCTAGCCGTTTCAATGAACTCCGTAAACCAGTGCATGCTTTAACAAAATCTTCTGAACATCCTTTAAGTTTTTCCAACTCCACCTGTGTTTCATCGATAGTACTTGAGATCTTCTTTGTAGCAGCCCTCAATGCAGAAATTTCTTGTGGAGGATAAAGAGAAGCTCCAAGTTCATCAACTTGCAATCCAATTTCCTGAGAAAGTTTTAATAGTCTCTCTAGAGAGGCTACAAAAGTAGCATTATCCACGGAACTTTCCTGCTTAAGCAAGCTAGTAATGGAGCGAATAAGTTCTTTAATGACCACAAGTGTTTCCGACACCACGTCAGTAGTTAAATGAGCAATTTTCATCTCCTCCGGAGAAAGATCATTGCCTAGATCACCACCAAATGAATCATCACTATCATCGGATTTGCTTTCTCCTTCGGGAGAATCTTGAACAGAAAACTCATCTGCTACTTCAGATGATGCTGGCTTCAGTTCATTCATTTCGCGAAGTACATCCTTCATGGAAACGGCAAGTTGCGTCATTGCTCGACCTATAGCAGTAATATTGGTGGGTGGAGTCTTCTTAAGAGCAGAACAAGCTTCCCAGACAGTGCCCACCAACTGTGGGATCGATAATTTCTGTTTTTTGTTGTTAGATCCTGCACATCCATTTTGGGCAGCAAATAAGGTTGGTCATGAATTATAACAGCTGTTAAAGAGAATCAATATGCAAGAACTAGATGCAGAAGATACATGCGATGAATGAACCTGAAAGGCAATATGCCACAACTAGAAGCAGAAGATAAATGTGATGTGCAATTGAACTGCAGGAACTACAGCAAAACAATTAACTGAATAGCACAGAGAAAACCATATCAACCGAATAGGGTCCACTTGGTAAGAAGCAAAAATGTTGCCTGTAAAAAATTGTTTTCATCAGATGTTTTATCAAAGAAAACCATTGCCAAAATCTTCCTACAGTATCTGGGAGAAGGTTGGTGATAGGTGACAGTGATGGAGAGTAGATGCGGGTCATTTGGGAGGGGGAGGTAGTATCTGGCAATAATCATAAAACAGAGTGAAATATATATAAAGATAACTTTGTAAGTTTCCAAAACTGTAAACATAACACATAACAAGTTATACAAAGAAGAAGAATTTAAGTTATGTGCACTGACGCACCAACACTGTCATCTGTTTTTTACACTATCAGCTAAAATTGACCTATAGATAGCTCTTTGCATTAAGCCTGATTTAGAAACTGGAAAGATAGAATGAGAACCTGCTATAACCCTTGGATACAACAACAACAACAACCCAGTATAATCCCACTAGTGGGGTCTGGGGAGGGTAGTGTGTACGCAGACCTTACCTCTACCCTGGGGTAGAGAGACTATTTCCGATAGACCCTCGGCTCCCTCCCTCCAAGAACTCCCCACCTTACTCTTGGGGTGACTCGAACTCACAACCTCTTGGTTGGAAGTGGATAGTGCTCACCACTAGAGCAAGTTCTATCATGTCCATAGATAAATATGCTCTTTGTAATTTGTAGAGGGATCCTGCTATAACCCTTGGATCCCTCTACAAATTACAAAGAGCATATTTATCTATGGACGGATAGAACTTGCCTTGATATTATTGTTCAGGTGGAAGTTTGTCAGCTTTAATTGACAACTAGTTTGGTAATAATCATAAAACAGAATGAAAGATATATTGTAGTCGAAAATAACTAATCTGTTTGAAATTCAGCTATTTTCCTTCATTTGTACAAAATATTTCCCGGAGAACATTTCTATCACTTTAAGCCGACCAAAGACCAAAATGTGATTTCGTGAAGGAACATATTTTATGTCTTTAGAATCAGAGACGTAATCTTTAGTTATTTTACAAGTGTCACTTTGTCTCAAACTATACAATGTTTTGGATGCTAAATGCTGTCAAGAGTTAAAAAAACCCTAAGTTGCTCGGATTCTTCACTTTCAGTGCCGCACCCGTGTCGACACGACGTGGGTGTGGATATGGGTGTGGGATCCGTGTCGGATCTGGTCAACCGATTTTGGGTACTTTGACCAAAATCAACGGAAAAATTTGGGACAGAAACAATGATTTTTGAAAACAAATCAAAAGCTAGGGTGATATGGAAGAAAATGGAATACCTTGTATATATAAATTTCTATGTCACTCCTTTTCCTTTTATCTCCTTTTAAAATTCTACTCTTGTTCAATATTTTCTCCTTCTTGGAATACCTTGTAAGTTTTCCACATAATGTCTCATAATTTAGACATATTTTTATAACTCTATTTTTAAATAATTGAATTATTTTTAGCTGAATCCCCACACCCGTATCCGTACCTGGATCCGTACCCCCGAATCTTTAAATTTAGATCATGAAGGATCTGACCTCTAGATCCGCACCCGAGTCCGAGCAACTTAGAAAAAAACTTGCATACTTAGGGCTGTAAATCTATACTTAGCTTATAGGTTAACACTTAACATTGCTGTTTTACTACTGTGTTCTGCACCTGGCACATCACTTACTCTCCTCCCCACTGTTCTCCATAGAAAGTTTTGTAGAAAATTTATTTTCATCAGGATTTTTTACACCCTAGCATATGAAATGCTATCCACTTCTTTTCCACATTTGGTACCATTACAAAACTTCTCAATCTCTTTTTTTTTTTTT